GGGAGAGGGTACAGGATGCAGAGGTTATACTGTGGCATATTCACTCAGTCTCAGTATAGCACTGGAGTCACAAGACCTCTGCCTGAGTTCCCAATAATGACAGACCTCCCTTTCTAAAAAAAAAAAAAAATATATATATATGTATATATATGTGTATATATATGTATATATAATGTATATATATGTATATATGTATATATAATGTATATATATGTATATATGTATATATATACGTATTTGGAACAAATGTATTAAACTTTGTTGGTATCTGAAACTGAAATTTGAATAAATACAAGGATTAGAAAGATATATACCAAAATGTTAATTGTAATTGTACCCAGGAAGAGATGTGGTTAAGGAAAGAGATTATAGATGATTTACTTTTCCTTTTTATTTGTATGGTGTGTGTGTGTGTGTATGAGTGTATGACTTGCCAGAAGGAAAAAAACCCCCACATTTAATTATTACATTTGAAAGGGGGGATTTTCATATATATCATCTTACTTATCTTGGAAGCAAAGTGATGTAACTTCTAATATCTCCCGTTTTAAGGATAAGGAAACATTACCAGGCTCTTTAACGGACACAGGACCCTTGACTTCGTTACCTTAATACCACATGCTGTCAAGGAAAGGGCCTTTGGTTCCTATTCACTGACCTCCTCCATATACAGACCAAGTTGAGACCTTGGGAAAAAAGGAACTGCATGAGATGTGTAGGGTTTTTTTCTTTCTTTCTGGTACTGGGTGTTGAACCCAGAGACTTTGCATTGAACTATATCCCCAGTCCTTTAAAAAATATTTTTATTTTGAAACAAGGTCTCCCTAAATTGCCCAAGCTGAGTTTGAACTTGTGATCCTCCTGTCTCAGACTCCTAGAGTGCTAGGATTCCAGGGGTGTACTATCACTCTTGGCTTGACAACATAGTTTTTGACCAGACACAAGTCCCTGTGATTGTTTTGGGGGCAGGGCTGGGGGCGTCAGAATAAGTAGGGGAGGGGATCTGGCCTCTGACTTTATCTGTTATACTAAGTCCCAGAAGGGAAGGGGAAAATGCACAGATGTGCAACAGTGAAGTGTTTTTTTCCTTTTATTTATTTATTTTTGTACTGGGAATCAAACTCAGGACTTTACACTTGCCAGGCAGGCGCAGCACCACTGAGCTAAATCCCTGGCAAGGCCACTTTAAGAAAAAGGTTTATGTTGGACATTCATGTTGTTTAGAGTGGTTTTTTTCCTTTTTAATTTTTCATACTAGATTTCATTCTCTGTATTTTTTAAACACTCTTTTCTTCCTTTCTCTTATTTACTTTTAACTTTGTGAATCACATCCATGTATCTATTTATTTAGAACCATCATGGTGATTGTGATATTTGGGAGAGACCTGGGCAGGGGCACAGTGAGGAGCATTTTGTGATCTGAAACCAGTGGGTGGCCACCTCAAAGTGGCTGTGATGCTTCCAGAGCAGGAAGTTTTTAGAACACTCCAGTTCAAAGGGTCATGGGGATCCATTTAGTTGAGCCTCCAGCCCTCATGACAGATATAGTGATACTGTCATTCACAAGACAGGAAGCAGTTTCATTCTGTTTTAAAAGCAGTCACACTTTGGAGTCAGACGGATCTGAGCTTGTACTGTGTGTTGTTCCTAAAATGAACTAAATAACTTTAGAATGTTTTCTTCACCGCAGCTTCCTGTTTAGTAAGTTAGCTGATATGAAGAACACCTATATCAGAGTTCTTGTGAGGATTAGGTGAATAAATACATGTAGAAGAGTACCTGGCACATAATAAGCATTGAGGAGTAACTGTGAGTTGTTATTATGACTGACAGTAATGATGGAAAATTGTGAGAATAGTGCTCGGCCATTAGCATACCTTTCAACATGGTTGCTGCACAGATGCGGTGTGACTTTTGTTGTGGCTTCAGGAGTAGCTTTCATAGGCCAGTCTGCTTCTGAATGTTTCCCTCTCCTGGGAGAGTGTCTCATCACATAGTAACTGGTAATGCCTGGGCTCTTTGTAATGGGCCAAACAGAAGGGCTTCCTCAAAGCATAGTATTTTCCAGAGAATCCTGTGAGCTTTTCATTCAGTAGTGTGCTTTCTATTAGAAACAGAACAGGCACTGCTACAGGTAACTTGGAGTTTATAATCCTGCCCTAGTCATAGAAACCTGCAGTTGTAAAGAGACCAAACACATTTTTCCTAGAGGTTCATTAAAAAAAAATAATTGGATGCAACCCAGTGGTAAAGTGTGTGCTTTGTATGCACGAGGCCCTGGGTTCAATCCCCACCACTGTGTGAGTGTTCACATCTTTCTTGAGCATTTACTATGAGCCAGGCATAATGAAAGTCACTACTGGACAGTAGTTCAAGGACATGGGTGCTGAAGCTGGGTTGTCTGGATTTGATTCTCAGCTTCACTAGTCATCAGCTGTGGAACCTTGGCCCCTTATTTAATATTTCTTGTGCTTCAGTATCCCCATCTGTCAAGTTAGGAATGCCAACGGTCCACCCCATAGAACTGTGTGATTAAACAACTCAATAATATAGTGAGATGATGATGACATTTATGATGGTGGGGAGGGACTGGGATTAGGCCTAGCCACAGATATTATCCTCATGTTGCACACAATCATGGCTATGTATAAGTAGTGCTTAGGTGCCGAGGGGTAATGTTGGAGTGTAGACAGATATAACTAACTATAGTAAAGCATGGTGAGTGTTACTGTAGGGAAAGGAGGAGGGTAGAGCAGAGGGGCCCAAGTGCTCACCTAGGTCAGAGAAACAGAATAGAGGAAAGTGATGTACCTGGTGTGATCTAAAGGGGAGGGAAAAGTTGGCTGGGCTTGGAGTGGTGATGGGAAGTGGGTTTTGTGTTCTGGACAGAAAGAATGTTATACATAAAGGTCTGAAAAGAAAACCAAATCCTGGAATGTGTAAGACACTGGAGAAATCCATTGAGCCTCTAGTGTGGGTTATGAGGAGGGTGGTGAGAGATGAGGCTGGCAGAGACCAGACGATGGAACACTGGAGTAAGATTAAGGATTTGCCGTGACTAAGAGCCAGGTACTGTCCTAGAGGTTTCCAGTAATCCCTGCAACTATCGCAATTCTGTGCTACAGGTGTTATTAGCCCCATTTTGTTAGTGGAGAAGTTTAGGCTCTGAATAACTGTCACATGCCCAAAAGGATAGTCTTAGAAGGTAGTACAACTAGGCTTTGAACTTAGGTCTTTCCAGCTGAAAGTTAAGGTTCATTTGCTGACACATATGTCTTTGAAACTTGAAGTTTAGCTGTAAGCTTTATAATGTCAGGCCACCTTTTGGCTTCGCTTAACCTTGGATTGCTCTGGTAATATTCAGTGTTAATAGTGCCAGCTTCATCACCTTGTGAAAACAAATGGAAATATATATAAAAGGCCAGGTATAGTGCCATACATATAGCCAGTGCAACTACTGCTTCTGGGCCTGGATTCTTGTACAGGGAAATGTTTTTTCTTCATGGTCCCAGTGACCTGAGACAGAACTCTGTGAGTCACCACTATGTGTTGGCTAAGATGTCATTCATTTTCCCAGGGATCTTTGAAATCTACATGGAAATCACCTTTGCACACAGCAGATTTATTTCCACCACTGTTTGGCAGGTGCAGCAGAGAGGCTCTCCTCTCTGCCACACAAGCCTGCAGCCACTGAGCTCCAGGTCTGCTGTTAGCAGTGACCCTGAGGCTTCACTGTCTCCCAGCGTCCTTCTCTGTACGAGTTTACCAGTTATCCTTTTCCTTCCCTTCCAGAGTCTACTGGGCCTGTTCTGCCTAGGACTTAGAAGATGAGCCCAGCTATTGGCTTGAATTCTTATTTAACTTTTTTGTTATTAACTTTGCTTATGTTGGTCTTAAGGGCAAACATCTCCTGTGGTAAAAGTACACTACTACAGTAGGTACTCAATAGGTAACAACTGCTTTCTCAAGGGTCGGGCTTTAAAGGTACCACAGCCCTTTGGGAGGAGTTTTTCTTCTTTAATCTTTGAAACAGTCATCTAAAGTAGACAGAGCATGTAGTATTCTTTTCAGCACAATTAGAGAAGCTAAGGCCTATACTTAAGCATTATGCCTGTTAATTCTTTCCTTCTATAGAGCAGATGTTCTTTAAATGTTATTTTGTCCCAGGGGCTAGAAAACTAGTGCTGAAAGATATAATCAATTCATTCAAGAATCGGGCAGACATTTGAACAAATAACTATATACAAGAAGGGAAATTTTAAGACAAGGAATGGTGAAAGTGTTTTACTTTATTCAAGGGGGATCAGTGAATAATTCAGAGAGAAAGAGAGGCTTGCATTGTTTTTGAAGGACTTTGTGATGCAGAAAGGGTGGAAAGGAAGGCATCTCAGGTAGAGGAAATGATGTACAACATATGTTGAAGTCCACAGGAAGAAGACAGATGCTTTGAGAGGTCCTTTAGCACCAGTATGACTGGCAGGAGGTGGATAGGAATCGGGTGGTGGTAGAAGGGCAAGGCGACTATAACTCCCACTGCTAAGATCCCCAAGACCTGAAGGAAACTGAAAAAGCCCTTCATGTTCCTTACCCTTCATTCAGTCTCTTAATTGCTAGCACTTCTTCCCAGAGGCATATAGAGCTCACTCCTGGATGGCTCTCCTTTATCTCTGAATCCCAGCTTGCCTAGTACAATCTCTGTCTCATACTCAAAGAAAACAATCTTACCTTATAAGGACCTTTGACCTGACTGCTTGGAGGAATAAAGGTTACCAGGTGAAAGGACACTTTACATCACAAGAGGTAGGTGAGAGGATTAAAATCCATCTGTGAGCAAACACCTGAGTTCCTGTCTTGCTGGCAGGGTCACCAGAGGAGAGCATTAAATTGCTCTTCAAATCAGTCAGACCTGTGGTTCCTGAGGTGACAGGGCTCGGGCAGCCTGAGCTCTGTGGGCAAATCTGACTGGGTCTGTCTCACTCTTGCCTCTGTTTGCCTTGCAGCTGTGTAAATGAGTATGGAAGATTATGATTTCCTGTTCAAAATTGTTTTAATTGGCAACGCTGGTGTGGGGAAGACGTGCCTAGTCCGACGATTCACTCAGGTAAGAGAACTGGCTCAGGACCCAGGGTTGGGCCTTGGATGCCCAGCCTGCCTTATGGGAGTCTGGAGGGTGGATCTGGTCCCACTTCCAGCCTCTTGGGTATGAGCTCTTAATGCTTATACGCAGCTTGTAGCTTAGAGTTTCTCTAAACCACCTCAAGGAAACATGGATCAGTGGGTCCCCACTAAGCTCCCACACCAATTCTTGCTTCTTTTATGAAAGGGGCAGGTGGTTTTGCTTTCAGTATCAAAAATAGATTAGTAGATAAAAAATAGATTAGTTCAGAGTAATCAAAAGGTGGGAACAAATGACTCCGGATATTAATTGAACATTAATTTTTAAAACACCCTGATATAAATTAAACCCTCAATTCCCTACTTATGCAACCAGTGTCCTCTCATGAAACTGAATTGTTTTTGGTTTAGAACAAGATATGCTGATTTCCTAAATCTCTTAAATGGGAATGAAATGAGAACAGTGAAGAACTATCTGAACTGAAATGAATGTCCTTTCTGGTTTGAATCCTTATCATATGACCTAAATACAAGTTTCCTTTGGGACGGCCCTCTTGAAAATTGTGAGCCAAGATTACATAACTTTTAATACAGAGATTAGCAGTAATTCTGAAGTTGACCCTTTGTGTTTTCCCCTGAAAAATATGAATTAAGCTCTTTTTTGGACTATCATGCACATTGCTTGCATTTTCAAAAAGTGTTGATTGGGAAAGTTGAAACTAGCTCTTCCAAGGCACAGGGCAACCTGATGCTCCGCACAGAGTGCTGGCTCAAGGACATGTACTTCCTAGGCCTGGTCCGACCCATGGCTTGCCCTCGGAGTCTGGGTGAATTTCTTCTCTTCCCAGGCTTCTTTGCTCTCCTTGAGGCACCTTGTGCACTCGAAGGCCCTTTTCAGCTCTGTGGCCAACTGGAGAGGCAGATCGCATAACACAAACAGCTGTAGGGCCCAGAGTCACTTTGAAATGTCAGGGTTTTTCCCAGAAGTGAACACAGAATAGAACTTGTACTTTTCACTAAGCCTTGGCCTGGCAAAATCAAAAGTACAAAGTTCACAAGGCTCAGTCAGCTACCACAAATACTGTATATTGGAAACTCCAGCTGGTTTTACATTTATCTAACATTAGTAATCCTTTCTGATTTTGACAAAAGGACAAGACTGTGGAACTGGAAACATGTAAAGAAACTTTTAGTCCCTTTGTTGAAAGTTCCCTTGGCCTTGTGTCATTACTGAAAGGTCACTTAGAGATTATTCGATCCAGTCCTTTCATTGTACAGATGAGAAATTGAGAGGCAGGGGGACTGAAAGACATGCTTTTGATCAACTGTCACATTCATGGCAAGGCCAAGATTAGAACCTAGGTCTTCTGGTTCTCAGCCTGCTAACTTCTGTCTTTCAGTTCCAACTTCAGAGACCAGTCTCTTTAAAAATACAAGCCAGAATACTCTTAAATGAAATAAATAGGACACACATGTGTAAATACCGAATAGTTTCTCTGGTGTGAGAAATTGAAAGTGTAAATAAGGACTAAATGTATAATAGGCCATGTGCAATAGGAAGAAAAGGGGCAAAGGGGAAGGAAGTGGGAGGGCTAGGGGAAAGGATAGAAGGGAATGGGATTAATATGAGAAAATGGAAAAATAGGAACAAAATCTTTGTAAATAGGGAGGACTGGAGGGGTTGAAGGGAGGGCTGGGCAAGGGTGAAAAATAAGAACCAAGAGAGACTATGTAAAGGTGCAAATTTCCAATGATGAATGTCATTATATTGTATACCTAAAAGGTGCCAATGATTAGAATGAATAATCGATAATGTAAAATAGGAAGAAAAGGTCCAAAGGGGTAGGGGTAGTGGGAGGGGCAGGGGAAAGGAAAGAAGGGAAAGGAAAAAATGATGAGAAATGGAAAAAATGGAAATAAAGTCTTTGTAAATAGGGAATGGTGGAGGGTGTGAAGGGAGGGCTAGGAATGAGGAAAAAATAAGAACCAAGATGCATTATGTAAAGGTACAATTCCCAATGAAAAATGTAATTGTGCTGTATACCTACAATGTACCAATGAAAGAATTTAATACAAAAAAAAAAAAAAAAAAAGAAAAAATACAAGCCAGGCATGGCGGTGCATGCTTGTAATCCCAGCATGCAGGAGGATTGCCCGGAGTACGAGGCCAGCTTAGGCTACATAGTGAGTTCAAAGCCAGCCTGAGCTACATAGGGAGACCCTGCCTCAACAAACCAACCCCACCCCTCAAAAAAAACAAGCCCCATAAAAACAAAACCCTATCATTAAAGGTAAAATATCTTCATTTTAAGCAGTAATTTTTTTTTTTATCAACAAGTACATTTGTCTTATTATTGTTCTTTTCTGTCTGCTTTTTACCTTCCACACCCCCTGAATTTCCCCCAAAGTTTGTATTTCATAGACAGGATTATGCTTGTTTTTCTTGTTTAGCAAGCAGTTACGATGAATTGGATTCAGCTGTTTTGAAGCATAAAAGGTTGGGGCACAAAATGGTGGGGGAAACATTGGGAAAGATTTTTATTTTTTGGCATTTGTTAGGCTGCAAAACAGCTGGAGCTATATAAACTTGAAGCTGGGCAGCTTTGTATCTGAGCCAAGCGAAAATAGAAGAAAATTGATTCAATATTTGTAAGTGAAGTTATGTTTATATTTATATCTTTTGCAGACTGCAGTGGAACGTTTTCTTTTGGTTTCAAGCTCAGCTTTTAAGTTCAGACTTTAATTAAAGAATTCTCTTGTTAGGGAGTGGACTTAATTAAAGATATTCCAGTTTCAGCTGCCAGAGCTAATAAAGTCCATTTCACTTTAATTTCTCCAAATTTTAGAATATGAGTGAAAAGGGAGGAGAGACGAGGTGAAGAGTTTGTAGGATCCTTTGCTACCTCTATAAGCTTATAGGAAATATTAATGTAATTTTGCTAATATTCTGTTTCTGGAAACTGCTACATTTCCAGGATAAGGTAAAGCTGTTGCTGCTACTTCCTCTTTCTCTTCCTTCTCCTCCTTTCACCCCCCTCCCTCTTCTCCTCCTCCGCCCCTTTCCCTCTTTCTTCTTCTTCTATATTTATATCAACCCCAAACTCATCGGATTTGAGGCCCTGGGATGGGGAATGGTTTGTCTGAGGTCACTTAGAAATCCTACCTCTGCTGCTTCAAGGTTTAAGGCTGTTTCTACTCCATTGTATCCCTGATGATTTTTCTTAGATGTCTTTCCAGAGTCACTGGCCTTGAGCCCATGTATACATGCATGGTACTCTCCACTGTGGAAGATAGTGATCACCCTTGGGGCAAAGGAGAATTCAAAAGCTTCACAGTCTTGTTCAAGCTTCTCAGGCTAAGTTCTTGTTTTTTCATGTTGGTTATATAGCCTGTGGCTGGCTATGGTCAGACTGATAACCAGGTTTAAGCTTCCTTGATTTAGTCTTTAGAGACGTATCCCCACTCTGATCCTGATCTGACCTTTGTGGCTCCCTGCTCTTCCATCCTATCATCTTGTCTGATATTTTTGGCTTCTCTTTGAAATTAGCCACTTCCCAGTTCTCTTCCCTCACTGACTCTCTCATTCTCACTTTCTTTGCTCCCCTTTCTTTTTCTGCTTCTCTCATCACTTCCTTCACTTTTTTCTTCCTCTATCTCTTCCCCTCAAAACATACATACAGAGTTAAATTAAACACAACTCCCATGATATTAACCAGAGTTCGCATTTCCACCAGTTAACCTCAGCTGAAGGAGGGCCTGATGTTTGTGGTGGTGGTCAGTACTTCATTTAACTGAAAGATGTACATAACTATTATTTTCATTATTTCTTCCTTAGGGTCTTTTCCCCCCGGGTCAAGGAGCCACAATTGGAGTGGATTTTATGATAAAGACAGTGGAGATTAATGGTGAAAAAGTCAAGGTAAGAGGCTAAGTGTCCATCAGATCTATCCATGCCCTGTGAGCATTTAGGTGAAGCAGTGCAGTGGTGTTTTCATAACATTCATTAAATCTCCTAATTGAAAACAGTGCATTCAGCTATGACAGCTTATTTCCAGTCCCTCTGTTGGGGGCAGGAAGGGATTTTTTTTAGATGGTGTCTTTACAGATGGCAAGATGAAGGACCAAGTTTATTTGTCCCATCTTCTATTATATCAGAAGTGACATAATTCCAATGAAGTAATTACAAAGAAGTCATTTCTTTTTGGATCTCCCAAGGTGGGTCAGTAAGTGGTGTTACCCCCTATGAAGAGCAGCCTTATGAAAAAGCCTTCCAATTCCCTCATTTCCTTTTAGTAATTGAGGCATATGAATCACCTATGAAAATTATCCTATCTCCCACCATACTGTTTTCCCTAATAAAAGATTCTAAATGAGGAGTTCAAGAAAAGATCGATGATCTCTACCTAGCCTATCCCCACTTTGGGTTTCTGGACGGTTTGGTACCTGTAGAAATAGGAAAGGGAGATAGTGTTTATTGAGTATCTACTATGTGTCATTGTCTTTGTTAGGTGCTTTTACATTTGTTATGATAGTTACCTTAATCCTTACTATAAAGCCTGGGAAGTAAGTGGTGTTACTCTTGTTTTTTGTTTTCAGAGCTGTTAGGTAACTAACTTATCCATAGAATACTGTCAGGGAGCCAGGCAGTATTTGGACCTGTTTGCTAGCTAGTACTGCCTTCTGCCACCCTCACTCTGGGGTCTCCCCCAGGTAGGAGAGAAGGAGAATAAAGGGATAATAGGCCCATCACCTTGGTGCAGAAATGTGAAGGTGACAGAAATGTTAAGCAACACTAAATTACATGGAAAGATGGCAAAGATAACTGGTTTTTGGCACTGTGTTCTACCTGCCATTCACTTACTGAAATTCTGTTGTCAGATCTTTCAGAGCCAAGTCCCTTAGAAAAAAGTACAGTGGGACCTCAGTTCATGAACACTTTGTCTGAAGATAATTTGATTTGCAAACAGAAGTGTTTGGCAAAATTTTGTTTTGGTTTGCAAACTCTGGATTGGGTGATGAACAGACTTCAGGCATCTTTCCCACAAAAACATGAATGTGTCCATCTTTTTCAGAATGATGGAATGAAGTAACTTCGTGAACTGAAATGCCACTGTAGTATCCTAGCCATCAGCAGCACAAAGTAAACTGGCATCAGAATCCTAGCTAGATCCCAATTTGAGCATCCCAGATCATGTTGTTTGCATCTTTCTCCCACTTGGACTTGCACTCCTCCTTCCCAGTGCCTTGGGGAGGGCAGAGAAGCTTTGTAATGTTCTTGCACATTTCACAGATTCTCACCATCACAAAAAAGTGTTAGGACAAAGCTCCTGAGTGGGGAGTAGAAGCTTTCCTGGTATCCTTAATGCAGAGCCGTCTGCTCTAAAGACAATGGTGGGTCCCTGGAAGATAAAGGCAGGGTGTGAAATTCATATAAATGCTAATCAGAAAGTCAGAAAAAATGGTATTTGGGGTGAGGAGTAGGAGCAGTGTGTAGGAACAGGAAGTGTGCTCACAGGAGATAGAAATCTACTTAAGAGGTGACAGTAGGAAGGGCATTTTGTAGCTTGGTATTATTCTAGCAGAAGGGAGTTGATTGCCAGCCAGGGAGTTCGGTAAAGATAACTGTGGTTCCATGAATTTTACTTCAGATGTCTAAGTTTCCCATTTATATATGTGTATGTGAATTCATTAGTTTGGCCAGAAATGTTAGTGCCTACCACAAGCCAGACAGTGGCCAAGAATAAAGGTAAGAAATGGTCCCCATGGTTAAAGCACAAACTTTTCCTTCCTGAATCCTAGGTTTAGGCTTTCTATTCTACTTTCTGAAAACTGTAACTTCACTTTTAAATGCTTATGCTCCTAAAATTTACCTGTTTTTACCAGGGATCAAACTTGGGACCTTGCACTTGCAAGGCAGGTGGCAGCACCACTGAGCTAAATCCCCAGCCCCTAAAATTCACCTGTTTTATGGTGCTTGAGTCTACCTCAAGGCCACAGCTCTCCAAGGACAAGGTTTATGTCTTACTTATCTTTGTATTCATGCCACAATTCTTGTCCCCAACACATCTTCAGGCTGTTGGACCTTTGTACAAAATAAAAGTCGACTAATATCTCAAATCCAGATCAAATCAACCTGCTTGTGTTTTTTTTAAACAACCCAGTATGTAGACTCAAGATACAGAATGGCCCTCTTCAACTGTATTAATCCAAGGTCCTCATGAATGTATAGATGTAGGAGGAGAAATTTCTCCTGCCTGTTATTAGAAGAGGGAGGTGCTACCCAGAGGAAATAGTTGTCTTATGGTCATCTTTGTTAATATTTACTGAATACCTCTTCTTAGTGATGTTTAAATGTCTTTTTGCTAATATTTTGCAAGCCTTCTCAGAGCTCTGTAAAATCAGTAGAAAAGAAAAGCCACTAGCAATTTGTACAGCCTCACTCCCTGGTGAGTGGCAGGAACAGGACTGGAACCCGGGACTGTCTCCTGACTACTCATCAGCCCCCTTGTAAGAAAGGGTCATCCTGTAAGAAGGATGATTGAGGGTATCCCAGAACAAAGGAAAGGGATTTATTTATCCTTCCATTGATTATTGAAAAGAGTATTGGTGTCGTTATTTCCAGAATGGCTCCCAGATTGAAGGCAGGGAATCCAAGTATTAGAAAAGTTCTTATGACTACTAAGACTATGTGCCAAATCAGTGGAGGCAAAATTAAGGCAGAGATCCCGCTTTTTCTGAGTCATGAAGGTGACCTTGGACAGAAAATATAATTAAAACACTTTAGTGCATTGATCTGTGTACTTTAAAATAATTTTTGTTATGTGTATTTTAGCATAATTTTAAAAGTTGGAAAAGTATACAATTTTATTTTATAAATTAATTTTTAT